ATATTACAAATTGGGCATCACATTTTCAAAACCGTTTATTCATCTGTGAAATGGCAATAATAGATCCATGGTGGTTTTTCTATGAGAAAGATGTGATGTATATGAAATATTTAATACCATCCTTGGGACATTTTAGAGACTAGGTGCAAGGTAGATGGTAAAATGTTTACCAAGAAGTTAATGTTTAGGGGGCTTTTGAAACCAATGTAAAGAAAAAGAAGAAGGAGTGAGAAAAGAGATAAATGTGGAAAAGAGATGGTAGAGGTGGAAGCAGAGAAAATAACGAAAGGAAGGATGACCCACCAGCCATCATTGGAGATGACTTCCTGGCAAGGCAGAACTGAAAAAACTCAAAATGCCTCATGGTGGGAAATGCCTGCCTGCTCTTTAAAATAAAAATTACACGTTAATTAGAGGGAGAGATTTGTGATAGTGGCGAAGATGGCAGTCATTGGAACTCCAGTTTCCAAAAGGGCAATCCGTATTCCCAAGAAATTTCGTGAGGAAATTCCCACACGGACAAGCCAGTTATAGTCCGAGGACCTCTTTTGCCAGTTTCAATTGACTGCAAAGCTCCCTAGTTCTTTAGGAGGACAATGGCATCTGTGTAAGAAAAGTTCAAAGGGTTCACCTGACCATGTAAATCCTGGCCTTCTTATAACCCGCTGTGCTCATTGTGTTATCTAGAGTTGCTTGGAAGATTGTAGATTTTTGTCAATAACTCTTTCACTGATTTTCAAGCTGTACTGCTTTTTCATCAGAAAACTTTTTTCTAGGACATTAATAATTCTCCACCAACCTCTCCCAGAGCCTTCCTATCCATACACTTTCTTTCCTTCTGAGATTCCTTATCAGTGTCCCCTACCACACAGTGCCTTTATGCTAACTCCTCTGATGTGAAAATTGAGAAAAATCTTTCTGGAATCTTTTTGAAGCTTTGAATGATGGAAGGCACAATAAAAGCACAGCTGGAATTGGAGATACCAAGCTCTGCTTTCCGGTTCCGCACTGAAGGGGGTAGAGGGGCGGGTATCAAGCTTTGTTTGGCCTTGAATGTAAGAGCAAAGCCAAGATGAAGCAGGATGCCATTTGTTAAAATACTTTGGAGCCATAACTGTGCTTTGAATCTAATGAGTATAATGTTTAGATTAATAGCTTGGGTCATATTTCATGTATTATATTTAACACTGGAGAAAAAAAGCCAAAGGAGAAAGTTGGCATACTCTTCAAAAATCTATCCCCATTGCTAATCAAAGCACACATTTTAATGTTCTTGCCAAAATGCAGCAAATGCAACCTAAACTCTCCTATGATGCATTCCATTTCTTCTACAAACTTTTTACCATCATTTAAAAAAAATTGGGGTCAAATTACTTTTTCCAAATATTGATTTCAAATAAATTCTCAAGACTTCAAAACAGAAAGGATCATAGAGCATTCTGAGAACCTGAAGGATACCTTGGATCCTCATTTTAAGAATTCACATATCCTGAAACAGTTTTTACACCTGATTTAGAGGGGCTCTGAGATCCACAAATCCTTAGCTCACAGAATGTTAGTCTAAGAGTTCCTACTCTAAAGCAAGTCAATGTCCGTGTCAGTCAAACGTGAGTGAAAACAAGTATACATACCTCTGAAGGTGAATGTAAAGATTAAATAAGTAAAAGCAGTGTACCAGTTTATCACCATGCTTGGAACTTAATAGATATTCGTACTTACTATTTTGTTATTATTATTACTGTCTCTGCTTTCTTAATCCCAATTCAAGATGTGGAAAAATAAAATCTTGAAGAGCAAAACGGCCATCAGTTTTATGAAATAAAACAACCCCTTTGCTCCGCAATTATTTAACACCTTCATCGTCAGGTGTAGGCAGGACTCTTTAGACCCATAGGTGGCTTGCTCGCAAAACACATTCTGTTTACTCACAAGCTCTTCATTTCAGTGGTATCGTAGCTACCTTTACTCACATTCTCAGATGATTTTTTCCATGTTTGTTCTGTGATCTCTGCTGACTGTACCAAGACCACTGATAGACGTTCTCCGTATATAACTGCGGATAATAAGTGACTGGACCAAGAGTTAGGAGTGCTGTTCATATCATTTTTTCATTTGAATGACTCTATTCAATCAAGTAACTTGTTAGCTAGGTGAAGAGGGTTTTCTGCTCCTATTACCAGAGTTACAGAAACAGGAGATATGTTTCTCAGTTCTCCAAGTAAGAAATGTGAATGCACGTTCACAAGAAACATTAAGCAACAGCGATTCTTAGAAAGTACTTCCAACTAGATGGGAAATTTTACCATCAATCATTAAGCTATTTTCTAAAATCATATTATGTCAGGGATTAGACATCAGCTATTCCAAATTAACTCATTTTATAGATGAGAAAACTGAGACTCGCTGAGGATTATTTGCCAGTTCTGTACAGCAAGCCTTTAGCAAAATTGCAAACTCTTCCAGCGTCCTAAATCAACTCTTCAATATGACCACTCTGCTATGATCAAAAAAGGCTATGTACCAGCTTGGGGAGTCAAGATTATCTAATCCACAACTGGAAATTAATATCCTTTGGGTTGTAATATAGCAATAACTTAGAGATAACAAATTTTAAAAGAATTTACATACTCTATTCCTGGGCACACAGATCTGTTGTTCATAGGACACTTACCTATATATTTGAATCTTATTTCTTTGTAGAAGAAATTCTCAGGAATAAAACCTTTCTGACTCAGAATTCCTTACTATATTTCCATGATTTTTGACTCTTTAGAACATATTTGTCAGATTTTCTTTTAATCAGATAATCTTTGAAAGAAAAATAGTCGCTTTACTGTATAGTTTTAAGACAAGTCATTGTGGCTAAGAATTTGTGATTCAATTTCCATTTTTAAAAATGGCAAAGTGTTTTTCTCCCTTATTTTTCTCCATCCCAGATGGATTTTTCTGGATTTTTCTCAGCCTCTGGCCTTTCCTCTATATTATTATGAACATTAGACTTTAGTCAGGTAAAGTTTATGCCTATCATACTTATCTACTTTGTGATACATACTGCTGTGTTTTTACTTAAATATTTCAGACGGTGACTTTAAAAGAAAATCTTAGTAGGTTATGGGAACATTCTGGCAAAGAGAACAATTCACTCAGTAGACAAAAAACACTAAACTCATATATCAGAAAGGAGGAAAATCTTTGATGAGAAAAAAGAGAATCTACTATTATCAATAAACAGATTTGAGTCAGTATAAGTCAGAAACAAGCCAGGCTCGGTGGCTCAGTCTGTAATCCCGCGCCTTTGGGAGGCTGAGGTGAGTGAATTGCCTGAGCCCGCGGGTTCGAGACTCGCCTGGGCAGCAAGACCTCATCTCTACAATAAATCAAAAAATCAGCCGGGTGTGGTAGCGCACTCCTGTAATTCCAGCTGCTTGGAAGGCTGAGGCGGAAGGATCGCCGGAGCCCAGCAGGCCGAGGCTGCCGTGGCCGGGAACGGCCACTGCACTCCAGTCTGGGCGACAGAGTGAGACTCCAACTCAAAAAAAAAAAAAAAGGCAGAAACAAGAAGATTTTTTAAAAAAACTAAAAAGAACAGGAAATTCAAAACATCCTTATGTGTGGGTCTTGTTCATTCATTCATTTTTTTCATTGTAATAAATATTTATTGAACAACTACTATGTGCACTATTCTAAGTATTCAGAATATACCCATGAACAAAATCAACAAGATCTTTGCTTTTAAGATGATTTCATTCTAGAGTTAGGAGATAGACAATTACAAACTTAATAAATAAGTAGAGTATAGAGCATGTATATATAAAGAAGTTGATAAATGTCTAGGGAAAAAGTGCTGGGAGATCAGTAGCTGCAGAACTAAGTGAGCGAGACAAAGTTGGCATCCTTGAGAAAATGACATTTGAACAGAGACGTGATAAGAATGAAAGACAGCTATGCAATGTCTAGGGAAGCAACCTTCCAAGCAGAGCAAACAGTCAGTACAAAATCCTATAGTCGTGAGAACAGATGCCATTATGGGGGGGCAAAATGGCTGATTTAAGATGCTGAAGAAGAGAGCTGTAGGCTGGGAGGCCACAGTAGCAACTGGGACCCAAATGGCCGAAAATGCATCTGACTTATTCTTGCTATCGCCAACATTGAGCACAGTACTGGACACAGAGTCCGTGTTCAGTGCTTGCCAGAAGAATGAATGAATAAACAAGTGCAAAGAGGAGCAAAATTTAATAGCATTTCCTACCATGTTCATGGGAAGCACTGGGGGAGGGGAGTTACATCCACTGCCTACGATGGCTGAATAAATGTTCATATGCGAACATGATGGTGAGATTCAATGTACTTTATATTGTTCTGAAGTGAAGAAGAGATCAGGCTATAATTTGGTGCCAGTGCTGTAATGCAACATGAGACAAGACCATTGGTGTCGCTCTGTCTGATCTGGTTATGTCATGCTCGTTTCACTTCCTGTGCAAGGTTTTCACCTACCCCTCCGCTTGTCACTCCCTTCAGCTCCACGTTGCTTCCTTTCTAATTTCTCACCCGGTGGTGTCCTGAACTGCACTTGAATCGGCCATGTGCAGCAAATTCAAATCATCTTGGATGAACAGCAGCAGAGTCTCCAGACAGAGCTGATGTTATGAGAAGCAGGCAGAGAGACTTCTACAGTACCCTTTTGGAACCCTAGAAGGCTAATAGCGAAGATGCAAGCAACATTTCCTCTAACCATCCGAGTCATTCAACCCCTCTACTCATCTCCGTGTGTCCTTGTAAGAGTGTGCGGTTCTCCTGCTGGTTAACTACAGGAAAAAGCTGATAATTTTATAGTTTTTTAATTTATCTGCCACTAACTTCATAAATCAACCTCTAGGTCAGATGTTTCAGCTTCATGAAAAAGAAGAAAAATGATTGATTTTTTTTTTACTAGATCTCTTGGGGTCTTATATGATTTTAACATCTTCCCACCCACCAAAATTTTTTTGTTTGTTTTTCAGGTGAAACGTCTTCACGCCTCTGAAAGTAAGGATTCCATGCCCTTGAGAGGAGTTGGATGTTTTAGAAACCTTGGTAAGTGCATATTAATTTTCATAATTAATGATTATGAAAAAACTATGAAATAATTCTCATAATTTGGAGAGTCAGTGCTGTGCTCCTTACCCCACCTGCAAGAAGAAGCAGAACCCAAAATCTACCTGGAACATCTGCTTTCTTAGATTACTTTTTGGCATTTTTTCTGTGGAAAAAAAAAAACATGCACACAAGTATAAAAGACTAAAATAAAATGGAAAACCCCAAAACCAAGTTCTCCTTTCCTCAAAGGTTATTAGTGCTAATAACTTGGAGTGAACTCTCCCAAAAAAATTCTTCTGTGCCTAGTAAGATATAATATACATCGAGTTTTTCTTTTTAAAAATGCATTAAACCATGCATTCTCAGCTGTATTTATTCACTTGACATCGTTCCATGTTGCTGCACATAGACCTACTTTGTTCTTTATAAACGTCATGTAGCAGCACTTAGGTGAGCCTGCTGTAAGGTATTTAGCTGGTTCTTTTTTGAGGTTTCTCCTACCTCATCATTATTGCAAATGGTGCGAGAAATTTCCGTGCATAAATATTTTTATCGAAATCTACTGTAAAATTACTTCCTGTTATCTCTTCGAAAATAAGCTGTATAAAAATTTATAAGAAAGAGCTACAAAACACCCCTTATTTCATGAGGTCCTAAAAATAAAGGCACTGATGAGAAGGCGGATCATCCTTAATCATTTTGTTTTCTTCTTAGAGAAGAGGAAAATTACAGTAAGCTAAAAGCTTTTAAGGTTCTTGAATATACAGAAATAAAAACATGAAAATATAATTCCTCCTCAACGTGAAGTTTTCCTGACAGTGCTACCTTCGTCCGAAGATCCATGTTAGTTCATGCTTCACTGAAATGCCGGTCTTGAAAGCAATAGTGAAATGCATTTCCAGGTTGCATAGATCAGACGTCCCAACTTTTGTGAAGGCCACTTATGTTTCATGGAACTATGAAAAGCTTAATTAGGGCGATGTCTACTCTGTATGCTGTATTTATTTTTCTGGTTTATAAGGACTTCCATAATCTAATGGTAGCTTGCTAGTCAATTTTACCCATTGGTTTGCAGGGAAATAATAATAATCTCCTCCACCTCAAAGGGAAATATACATATATATATATATGCATATATATATAATGAATATACACGTGCATGAGTTTTCTTATCCATTTTACTGATGTAAATGATATGGAACATACTATATAAGAGGTATGTATGTGCATGTATATATCTTCTATCCTACAAAAAGACAATCGTTTGTCATTGTTAATGAAATATGCAGTGTACTTTATTCCAAATAGTCAATTCATTCTTACGCGATGCTCTGACTGATTTTTACCAAAGTCTGGTATTTATATCCAATCCGTGTCTGCAGTAAAAATGAGTGTATTCCAACATAAATACTGGTTAATCTTTTAGTGATGTTAACAAATAACATGGTGGTTCAGGCCCATAGTTCTAGCTACTCAGGAGGCTGAGGCAGACAGAGGAAATAACCCCAGAGCCCAGGAAGTCAAGACTGTGGTGAGCCATGGTTCTGCCACTGCATTCCATCCTGGAGGCCAGAGTGAAACTCCAACTCAAAAAAACAAAAACAAAAGGCAGACAACAACAAAAACAAGTGAAGCGACAGTGAGACAATAATAACCTATGGCATGAGATCCTCATCTTCAAAAACCATGAACAACTGACTTCCTTATTGAATTCAAAGAACATTTTTATACCGGAAGAGCATTTCCTCATTTCTATGTGCCATTCACAATGTAATGCCCACAGACACGACGCACTTTAAAGTTTAATTTGTATCATCACCTTCTTCATCACATTCCTAAATCTAGCAGTAAAGAAAACAACAAATTAAGCAAGAGATCTAGCATTTAGCAACACTCTCATCATGGTAGACTTAAAGTTCCCAGAATGACCTTACTGAACAGAGGATGGGGAAGAGAGGTGCAGTGCATACCTTTACAGATTTTCTTCTGCCAGATAAAATAGACATTAGTAATAGTTCAAGCTTTTCATTAGAAAGTGATGAGTTTTGAATGCGTATTACTTTTGTTTTATCATCACCTATTTAAGTTGATAAAATTATTTTTTTGACGCTATATTCAAAAACTGACTCACAAAACTCTTGAAATATAATCATGGAATTTGGAAGCCTGTGCAAGCAGCCCTACTTACTATATCTTGTATCTCATCACTTTTCAAATGGTAAAATCTACTGCATTAAGTACTGTCCTCAATACCCCTCAAGGTTGATGGCCAGAAAGAATTTTAAGTTTCAGTCATGCATGACTGGATAGAGTTGGCAGTTTTCTGTAAAATGAGTCTAATAGGCTGAAATTTTTTAAAGGAAAAAGGATGACCTAGTTTTCATAAATCTTGGGATTCCAGCAAAAATTCTGTTATTCAACTTCTTGTTTTATGGAAAACCAAGTTGAAGTGACTAGAAAAAGAGGACATTATCCCACACAAAGACATGTTATAACTTTTAACCAGAAACCAGATTTGAACCTGACAATGTGTTGAACCTCGTAATGAATGGTTTTCTGAGTTTAACTTAAAATTATTTCATCATTTTGCATTTTTGTTCCAGGCTCAGACACATGTAAAATGACGAGCTCCACCTTCTGATAAATAAACATTCAAATAACCACTCATTACAGGTTTATCTCCCAGCCTTTTGTCTTATGGGAAGTTCAGTCACATCTCACCAATGTGCTTTTGCTCATTAAGGTCTGTTTCTTTGTCTCTTCCTTCATGGCTGGAACAAGGAGCACACTTTTGCCTCTCTGTCCCTGGAAGACTTCATTTCTTCTTGTGATATTTCCTAGGATGTACACTTATAACTTTCTCTACTTTCCCTTTCGCTTCTAGTAAATGCCATACTTTTCTTTCGCTAGATCTTTATGGGCTGAGTTCTTTATATATGTTTGGTTTGAATATCCAGTTTAAAGTACATGAGCATTGATTGGGCAGAATGTATCTTGCTGGCAACTAGGGAGGATACCCACTACAGAATTAGGACAATCACTGAAACCGTAGGGTTGCTTTGGCATAGCGTGGTTTCACCTCAGCAAGGAGGGTGACTTTGCAGTTTCTCCACAGTGTTTTGCTTTTTATGTCTTCATTTAATGGTGTGACATCCTATGACAATTATCATTATTTTTGGTTCAATTTTCCCTCTGAAGCAGCTTTGACACAGATCAATGCATCTCAGTGTCGTTTTTTATGGCGCTGCAACATCAGAAACTGACAGCTGGAAATCTTAATTGGTCCAGTGACAGAAAATATAATGACTGCTCATGGTGACTTATTTTATCTGACCTTGTGTTTAATTCAAAGGTAAATTTTAATCTCACTGTTGGGAAGGAGAAGGTCGTGGGTCTATGAGTGGGGCAGGGCGGCCAGAAAAAGGCCCTTCGTTTGGAAAGAAATTACTACTGGGTGTGGGGCTATTACTAAATTAGGGTTTAAGCGCTGGTCCTGAATGATGGTTGCCAAAGGTCTCCAAGTCTATTTGAACAGCCAGCCATTCGACTGCGCCTGTCATTACAAATGGCAGCAGGCACTGAATGCAGCGTGGAAGGTTGCCCACAAATGACTGGCCAGAGGCCCTATTACAAAGGCCACCAGACAGCTGTCAGACAGATTGGCATTTGATCATTACTGAGTTGGTCCAGAGCCCGATGACTTTGACCCAGAGGCAAAAAGTTTCCTATAATACCACCCAAATTGCACAATCCTTGTGGTCTCGGAGAGAAAACTATTTCTAGAATAAGAACATCAGATTTGTCCTGTTGAGTTCGACTATTAAACCGATATCAAGTGTCTTATTGGCAGTTAAACACTGGGATACTATGAGACTATTAAATCCCCTATGTCTTTAGTTCATCTTTGGCAAAAACCTATCATAGAGAAGGAGATAGTATAAAGTGAAGAAAAAAAAATTACAGTAAGCTAAAAGCTTTTAAGTAAGCTGGCCGTAGATCAAGAAGATATTTCTGAGCTTCACCTCAAGGTTTGACTAATTTCCTGGGTGATTAAGCAAACTAAATGGAAGAATGTGTATTTAAATGCTTGATTAACTTGATGATAAAGATGAGGGTGGCATTGATGACTGTAATGATAGTGTTAATGATGGTGAATTAAATGTTTTTATTCTACGAATATATTGTTAATAGTTTTTCATGATGTAAAAAAAAATCCAAGGGCAATGTTGATTAAGAATGTAGTATATAAAAGTCAAAAGCAAAGGCTTCACAATTCAAACAAATAAATAAATACCTGGTTTAGTATTCTGACTCCAACACTTATGAGCTGGCAAGCCATAGTTTTTTGTTTTGTTGTTTTAATCTGTAAAGTTAGTACTCACTACATTCAGGTTGCTCTTGTTACTTTCAGTTGAGTAAGTGCTGAGCTAGTGTGTTCCTCAGTAACTCATTCAGCAGATTGAGACTAAGAAGTGGTTCACTCAGCTTGTTTTTCAGCCAGATGCATCCTTGTGTTAGTCCAGGTCTCTCTAGAAGCAAAAACAAAGACTGAATTTCTTTCAAAATAAGGACCTTTGAAAGAAAATGAGCACGCCTGGGAGAACAACCAGACAAGAATGGGAGTCTGGCTACAGTGAAGGAGCGGGAGAAGGGAAGTTGAATGGAAGAGTCCTGGATCGCTGTGAGACTACAAAGATTCAGCAAGACTGTTAGGGAGTTCTTAAGACAAGGTTGGCTATCAGAAGAGTGGGTTGTCTTCCAGAGGCAGGCCCACCATGCTCAATCATTTGCTGGAGGCAGCTTGAGGGGAAGCATGACCTTGGTACAAACATGGCGATCAGTTTGACAGCATAGCAGCTTGGGCAATCCAGTTTGGATTAAAGTTTGGCCACACCCATCTCCTTGCCTTTAAATACTGTGTTTTCTTTCAGACTCTAGTGTATTACTTCCAACCTTCCATTTAAAAAGAAATCTATTCATATTTTTAGACTGCACCG